GTGGAGCCACCGTGTTCACCAAGTTGGACCTCCGCAGCGCCTACAACCTCATCCGGATACGTGAGGGGGACGAGTGGAAAACCGCCTTCGTGACTCCAACCGGCCACTACGAATATCTGGTAATGCCGTATGGATTGGTCAATGCCCCCTCCGTATTCCAAGACTTCATGCATGAGGTACTCCGGGATTTCCTCCACAAGTTCGTGCTGGTATACATAGATGACATCTTGGTGTATTCCCAGAGTATGGCTGAACATCGCCAGCACGTTGCGGAGGTCCTCCAGCGCCTGAGAGACTTCAGTCTGTTCCTGAAAGCGGAGAAGTGCTCGTTCCACCGATCCTCAGTGCCCTTCCTAGGATACATAATCAGTGAGCATGGTATCCAAATGGACGAGGGGAAGGTTAAGACTGTTCGTGAGTGGCCCCTACCAACTTCCATCAAAGAACTTCAGCGATTTCTAGAATTTACCAACTTCTACCGGCGTTTCATCAAGGATTTTAGCTCCATCGTTCACCCACTTACCAACCTGTTGAAGGGAAAGCCCAAGTCTCTGTCCTGGACTCCAGCTGCCACTCAAGCAAGCTCAGAGCTCAGAGAGACCTTTACCACCGCACCGCTCCTCGTTCTTCCGGATCCCTCAAGACCCTGGAGGTTGATGGTTGATGCCTCTACCAATGGCGTCGGAGCGGTGCTGTCTCAGCAGCATGGGGACTCAACCAAGCTCCTGCCATGTGCCTTCTTTTCCCGAAAACTCACCCCGGCGGAGAGTAACTATGACATCGGGAATAGAGGGTTACTTGCCATCAAACTCGCCCTGGAAGAGTGGAGGCATTGGCTGGAGGGAGCCATACATCCTTTCACCGTGTACACCGATCACAAAAACCTGGAGTATCTTAGAAATGCCAAACGTCTCAATCCCAGACAAGCTCGTTGGGCTCTCTTCTTCACACGCTTCAACTTCTCCATAACCTACCGACCTGGCCACAAAAATATACGGGCAGATGCCCTGTCGCGACTCTATGCTCCAGCTGAAACTCCTCCCACTCCTGAGACCATTCTTCCTCAAAAGATCTTCACCTGCCCAATTCAGTGGTCCACTAACCCGGAAGTATCCTCCGCCAATACTCCCTCTGCTACTCCGCTGGGGTGCCCTCCTGATCGTCTGTATATTCCACCATCTCAACATACCACCATAATCCAATCCGTTCACTCATCCTTGGGCACTGGCCACCCAGGGGCCAATGTAACTCTCTCGCTGCTACGCAACCGCTTCTGGTGGCTGGGCATGGCACGTGACGTTAGGAGGTTTGTCCAAGGATGTAAGGAATGCGCCATCTCCAAGAGCCCACGGCACTTACCAGCAGGCAAGCTCCAACCTCTGCCCATTCCACATAGACCCTAGTCACACCTGGGAGTGGATTTTATCACAGACCTACCATCCTCTGCCGGTAAGACTTGCATATTAGTCATAGTAGACCGATTCTCAAAGTCATGTCGCCTTATTCCTCTGAATAAACTGCCTACTGCAATGGAAACTGCAGAACTGTTATTTCAGCACGTGTTCAGATACTTCGGCCTCCCGGAAGACATAGTGTCAGACAGAGGACCGCAGTTCGTGTCCAGGGTATGGCGGACTTTCTTCTCTCTCCTAGGGGTGACAGTAAGCCTGTCTTCGGGATACCACCCTCAGTCGAATGGGCAGACGGAACGCAAGATTCAGGAGATCGGGCGCTTTCTCCGGACCTTCTGTCACAGCCACCAGAACTCCTGGAGCCAGTTTCTAGGCTGGGCCGAGTATGCCCAGAACTCGCTACAACAACCAACCACTGGTCTTACCCCATTCCAGTGCGTACTCGGATACCAGCCGCCACTATTTCCGTGGTCCGGGGAACCCTCGGACGTACCATCTCTCGATCACTGGTTCCGGGAGAGCGAGAGAGTCTGGGACGAATCTCATCATCACCTTCAGAGGGCAGTGCGACGGCAAAGAATCCAGGCGGATGCTCGACGGGCCAACACTCCCGAATACCAACCAGGGCAGTTGGTTTGGCTTTCCACGCGGGACATTCGGATGCACTTGCCTAACAAGAAGTTAAGTCCCAGATATGTTGGTCCCTTTCCCATTGTCCGTCAAATTAACCCAGTCACTTACCTTCTCAAGTTACCAGTCACTTACCGTATTCATCCAACATTCCATGTGTCACTCCTCAAGCCATTTCACTCACCTCCGTCTACTTCCTCCACAGAGCCTGGCCAGACAGTGGAACCCCTTCCTCCGGTGGATGTGGAGGACGGCACCGTATACTCTGTTTGGGAGATTCTGGACTCCCGTCACCGTGGTGGTCGTTTGGAATACTTAGAGGATTGGGAGAGCTACAGAACTGAGAAACGGTCCTGGATTCCACGAGATGACATCCTTGATCCAGCTCTCCTCACTGAATTCCACGAATCCCATCCTGACCGACCAGCACCCTGGGGAAGAGGTCGGCCACCACGACGGCGGGGTACGCGGCCCACAGGAGCGGGCCGTGGGGGAGGGGGTACTGTCACGGATGAGCCAGGCTCTCTCACCTCCCAATCACAACGTGCACCTTCCCCGGAATTCTAACTGGACACACCTGCTCGTCATCACTAATCACCGCTCTATATAAACGCACACCTCACCTCCACTCATCGTCTGGTCTCACATTGAGCAATGGACTCATTCCTATTCTCCCTTGTGATATTCATCGACTCCCGAACTTTTCGTCTCCTACCTTCCTGGACTCATCTCCTCTTCACAGCGTCCCCGATCTCCCAACCTGCAAAGTACAGGACAGTATTATTACCATCTCTCCTTCTAAATCTACAATCCATTGCTGCATTGCTCATCTGTTTGCTCATTCACTCCCTGCTGTTAATAAACGGGTTAAACTGACCATCATCTTTCTGAGTCGTTCTGTTACAATAGTAATGACTTTATGAATTTCTTCACTGATAAAATAGATAACATCAGAAATACAATAACAAATTGTCATTTTGCATTATTGACACTATTTTCCTAATTAATGCTGTTCAGTTGCTTTGACACAATCTGTATTGCTAAAAGCGCTATATAAATAAAGGTGACTTGACTTGACTCATACCTCACTCCACCCCATATACACACGGTGAACCACACGTGTGTGTGTGTTCACTGCTGTGTGTGTGCACTTTGGATGGGTAAATGCAGAGCACTAATTCCTAGTATGGGTCACCATACTTGGCCACATGTCATTTCACTATAAAACAAGAGCTGTGCTTGGTGTGATTTCTTTATTCTTCAGTTATTATTTACATGAGCACATTAACAAAACATCAAGAGTCTTTTTAAACTATAGCGAATGAATAATTGCTCGGTTCCTTAGTTGCTCCACATACTCCTTGGCCTGGTCGAATACTGTCTTCTGCTCGACTTTGGGCGGGACCCCTTCAACGAGCTTTACAAAGTAGTGGCAGTGCACTTTGTCCATGATGCCAAACATGCCATGTCCATGATAACGAATACGCTTTCGATATTTTCCCATGGCAGAGAATGATTCAGCTGTTGAAGTCAGACCAAAGAAAATATAATTCAAATGTTACAATTAATGGTCTACATTGAAGTCCAAGAGCCATGTTTATTAAATGACATTAAAGAAAAATACATTAGCCAAAATTAAATACAAAAGAAGCATCCATAACATATAACACATAAAATATTGCCTTTTCATGCAATAAATATAGATTTATTTTGTGTCTTAAACAAAACCACCATTTTTTTCTCCTTAAAATGTTTTTTTTTTTTTTTTTTTTACGGAGTCTCAAAAGATATCTATCATTCAAGACTTTTGAATTCTAAACTGGCTAGCTTGCAAACACAAAGTATTTGGTTTGAGAAACTTTTTTTCTCTCTAGTGTCTCAAAAAGCAAATTATTTTTGGATTACTGAAATGTTTAAACCCCATGGACTGTTTAAACTCCAACGGCACCATGAGGGGGCATTTGCAGGCTATGCCCCTCCAAATAAGTTATTGTGCCTCCCACCACTCACTATTTCAACCGAGGGGGACCAGAGCTGGCTGACAAAAAAGAGATGCTTATTAAAGGCTAACTTTATTTTAATGCACAAATAAGAAAACATAACTCCACAAAAAAAAAAGAACAAAAAAGTACTAATAATTTTCATGTTAATGTTTGGTATGGATGAGACTTACCAATATATAGATTTGATGTATTCAACATTGTGATTCCTGACCCCCATGTCCTGAGCTTCCAAGAGAACCTTTAACACAAATAGATAAATAAAACTCAGTATAGCTTTCGAAACACACTTTAGATATTGTGTGATACTGTACAGTCATGGCCAAAAGTTTTGGCAGTGACAAATTTTGTGTTTTGCAAAGTTTGCTGCTTAAGCTGTTGTGGTGTTCATTCACATTTTTTCTAGATTATTGTGTAAAGTGATCAGATGCATTTTAAATAATTGCTAAAAGCTTCATTGGCCAAAAAATGAACTTTTCACAAAAAAGCGA